CTTATCGTGCTGTTAGGATAAAAAACATTTTTCCTCCCCACTTAGAGAGGGTTATAAAAAGAACGTGACCTGTTTATTTCTTAAAATCTTATACGATAATTTTCATCGGTTTTTATGTGTTTAAGCTTTGAGGGAAAAATTCACTTCTTTTTTTCACCATCTCAACTATGAAAATTTTGAAGAAGAAAAAAAGTTGATTTTCGCGAGAAATTTCTGTTTGTTTTTTAAATTCCCACTACTTTAAATTTAAATTCTTTAAAACGATTCAATTATTTTCAAAAAATATTCGAAATTCAATTATTTTCAATATCTAATATTTTCAAAAAATTTTTCAAAAGAATTCAATTATACAATTATACAATTCTTCACAATAATTTCATTGCTTTCACTCATAATAATAATTTTTATGGAAATTGAATTATTTAAAAAAATTTTGGATAAAATTCTAAGCAAGAATTCAATTATTTTCATTAATAATAAAACTTGTCGAAGAATTTCAATTATTTTTAATACTATTTGAAATTAATTAATCGAAAAATTCAATTATTTTCACAAATAAAATTTTCCACAAGAATTCAATTTTTTAAAAAACAAATTTCATAAAATTTTTTGAAAAAAACAATTATTCAAGAAATCGTTTATAAAATTCTTATGAAGAATTCAATTATTTTTAAAAATAACAAAATTTTTTACAGAAATTCAACTCTTTTTAAACATTTTAATAAAATTTTTCGCAATAATTCAATTATTTTCATAAATAACAAAATTCTTCTCAGAAAATCATTTATTTTTGAAAATTTTGAAAAAATTCTTAGCAACTATTAAATTATTTTCATAAATAATAAAATTCATGGGAGAATTTCAATTATTTTTAATACAGTTTTACAGGAATTGCTCGAAAAATTTGAATTATTCTTAAAAATTTAATTTCAATTCCTCGAAAAAATCAAATATTTAAAAAAATGCTTTTTTAAAATTCTTTGAAAAAATTCAATTATTTACAAAAATATTACAATTTTTCACAGGAATTCAATTATTTTCAAATATTTTAATAAAATTGTTCGAAAGAAATCAATTATTTTAAATAGTATTTTAATTAAATTTTTTTGAAATAATTAAATTATTCTTTTAGATTTTAATAAAATTCTTCCGAAGAATTCAATTATTTACATAAATAATTCTTCGAAAGAATTCAATTATTAAAGATAAATAACAAAATTATTCCTGAAAATTCAATTATTTTGAGGCATTTTAATAACATTCTTTGCAAAATTCAATTATTTTCATAAATAACAATATTTATCGCACAATAATTTAATTATTTTTAAAAGTAAATAATTTCTTCTTGGGAATTCAATTATTTTAAAAAATTCTAATAAAATCGTTCGCAAACATTCAATTATTTTCATATATAATGAAATGCTTTTTAGGAATTCAATTATTTTCAAAAAAATTTAAAAAAATATCACACAGAAATTCAATGATTGTAAAAAAAAATGTTAATAGAATTCTTAATTATTTTTATAAACTTTTCGCAATTCAATGATTTTTAATATCTACTTTTTCATGAAATTTCCAAACAGAATTCAATTATTTAAAAAATTTTTTTGTAAAAATCTTCGTAAGAATTCAATTATTTTCATGAATAATAAAAATTTCCCAGGAATGCAATTATTTAAATTGAAATTTTCATAAAATTAGTCGAAAGAAAATAATAATAATAATAATTTTTATAAATATTTAAATTCTTTTATGAATAATAAAATTTGTTGCAAGAATTCAATTTATTAGCAGGATAAGAAAGAAGTAAATATTTTTAATGAAAATTATGAAAAAGTTAGGAAATTAAAATACAGAATGGATTTTTTGTCAGTTTTTGTGAAGTATCTAAATAAAGGAGTTTTTTGGTCGTCAAGTTTAATTTTTTGATAGCTACTTTTTTACTACTTTTTTTTTAGTTTAAAAGCTTCTTTTTGCTACTTTTTTAAAATTAATTATCGAGTGCAAAGTCTAATTTTGTGAAAAAGTGGTAGAAACATTTCGTTTTTTTTATTTGAGATAAACTATATAGAGGTCAGTGAAATTCAAACTACATGTTTGAAATGAGAATAATATTATCATATTCAAAGAATTACGCAACAAGTTCTATGTAAAGTATTCTCTTTACTCTGTTCCGCTTATCTTTTGGTGTATATTTTTTTTTTTTTTTTGCCCTCATATAAAAATAATTGTGAATTCTCTGAACTATGTAAGTTTAGTGAGAGAACTTGTGTTGAACAGAGACGGAAAGATAGGTTCTGTAAGCTAGAGTCGAGTGCCAACTCAACGGATTGCGGCTAACATTAATTCCAACTGATTCTAACCCACCAACCCCTACATACAAAGCAAGATTATGTTACGAACTCGAGCGGAATACCATCCGCCATACAGTTCAGTTCCATTTCACAGATAAAGTACTAGATTATTCTAGAATTCGTAACCACCATTTTATCCTTTGAAAACGTGTATTTGGGAAAAGTGGACAAAAACTTTTATGGCAAATATCAAAAGTAGAGATACTTTTGTTGCACGACAGAGAACTTGTGTTGAGTTTATTTTGAAGTAGATAAATTTTATTTTTCTCGAGAAGAAAATTTTTATTTCTCAAGTTTGTAATAATATTCTTCCGGATGAGAAGAAATCATTTGATTTGGTACCGAAGCGTTGGGATTTTTTTTAGATTATAATTTTATATCTCTTTCTCTATCCAAAGGAAAGTGAGATAGGAACCTCTTTATCAAAATTTTTAGATTTAAAAATTTTAAAGTTTCTCTAAATAATTAAATTATATTGAAGAATTTCTTTAAGTTTTAGAAAAATAAAGTTTTTTTTAATAATTTCAATTCAATTGTAATTAAAATTTTAATAATTTAATAATTTTATTAACATTTTTAGGAAATAATTAAGTTCTAATCAGAATTTTATTACAATTTTTTAAAATAATTGAATTTATTCAAGTAAAGTTTATTAAAATATTGAAAATAATTAAATTTATTCATGTAAATTTTATAATTATTGAAATATGAAAAATAATTGAGTTCATTCAAGTAAATTTTATTAAAATATTGAATTCTTTTGAAGTATTTCCGTAATTTTCTGAATATAATCGACTTTTTTTTTAGTAATTTCAATTAATAATTTTATTATTAAATTTTATTTAAATTATTAATAAAAAATTTAATTTTTTGAACACCTTTATTTTAAAGTTTTTCTAAATAATTAAATTATTTTGAAGAGTTTCTTTAAGTTTTAAAAAGAATGAATTTTTTTTTAATAATTTCAATTCAATTGTAATTAAAATTTGAATAATTTAATAATTTTATTAACATTTTTTGGAAACAATTGAATTTTTTCCAAAATTTTATTACAATTTTTGAAAATATTTGTTTTTTTATGAAGAAATTTTTTATTTATGAAAATAATTGAATTCTTATAAAACATTTAATGAAAACTTTAGGAAATAATTGAGTTATTTCGAAAAATTTTATAATAATTCTTAAAAATAATTGAAATTTTTCAAGAAATTTTATTAAAATTGTATTGAAAATAATTGAATAATCACGAAGAATTTTATTTCTTTTTTTAAATATGTAATTGAACTGATTAGAAGAATTTTGTTATATAAGTTTTGAAAAGAATAATAATAATTATTTATGATGTTAATAATAATTGAATTTTTATTAATTTTAAATATGAAATTATTCAAAAGTTAAAGTTGGTGTTCAGAAATAAAAAATTCGTACAATAATGAATTGAATACTATGTTTCGCGCGCGTAAATTTTGCTTGTAACTAAAATAATATTAAAGTAAAAATAAATATTTATAAACAAATTAAATTGAAAACACAAAAATTATTTAAATTTCACTATATATTAAAATACGACTGAGTGATAGAATCATCTCTACTCTTATTATTTAATTTTTGTTTGAACAAATTTTCCTAAAAACTCAACAGATTAATTAATTAATTAAAAATTACATTATTTGATTTTTAATATTAGAAAATGTTTTCTTTTACAATTATAAAAAGATTAATGAATAAATAAAATAATAACAAACAGAAATAAATAAAATAAGAAAATAAAAATAAATACTACTGATTAATAGATTAATAATAAATAAATATAACCGTTTAATTATTACGTGCATAAGTACGTAAGTATGGTTTGAATGTACTTGAGCATATTATGTAATTGTATATGCACATACACATAGATATTTTAGCATATTTGCAACGAATCTCGGTTAAATTAAAATTGTACACTCTAAATTTTCTTTTTAAAAATTTTTCGGCTAATTTTTGCCGTCCTGTTGAGTATAAAAATGAAATTTGCGTACGACCGCGGAACGGAATAGGAAGCTTTTATCTCCTCTATGTCCCTTTTATGCTCACATCATGGTTGCATTTTTTAAGCTTCTCATACTGCTTACGTTGTTACCAATCATATGCAGCCTCCAGAAACTAGAGAATAATGCTAGACACTGAGGATATCCTTGTTGCATTGTGTTATTTCACTGTTTCTCTCATTTCCTCCTAGAAATGCTTGCTTTCATGGATAAACGCCGGAAGTTTCTAACAGAGGGAGAAAGAGAGAGTGAGAGAAAGAGAGAGAGAGAGATAGAGAAAGTGCATAGTATTTCATATTTTTTTCCATACTTTACTTCACACTCTTTTTGACAATTGAAAATAAAATTTAAAACAATTCTTAAATAATATGCTTTGTGAAAAAAATTAAACGAATCTTAGATTAAATTCATGGATTAAAAACTTCACCTGGAACAACGACAAATTTATTTATATTAGCGAAATTTTTATTTATTTCAATTAATATTTTCGCTAGTCTAGAGAAAGTTATTGTTGGTCCAGATAAAAGTTATTTTCAGCGAGGGAGTGAATTAGATTAAAGTATTCGAGATTATTTTTTAATTATTGATAAATTTTTCTTAAATTTTCAAACAGTTGGTCTAAGGAAGGAATCGTCTGATTGAAAAGAGGATGCAATAGGGATCTTCAAGCAATTGGTCCATCAGAGGCTGGATTAGTCTGATTGAAGAGAGGATGCTGGGATCTTCAGGAGTTGGATTCTTCAGTTAGCCCATCAGGGAGAGGATTAGTCTGTTGGAGGAGAAGATGCTGGGATCTTCGGGAGTATACCATTCTTTAAGAGAAGATGCGTTACCATGGCATCCATCGACCAACCTGGGATTTATCGGTGAGTCCGTAAAAAAATTTTTTATTTAACACCAACAACGTTGGATTTGTCGGTGAGTCTGTGAAAAAAGTTTTTATTTAACACCTTTCTTCTCTGTTTAACACTTCTTGAGACAATTTTCTTTTCTTAAAAATCATTAATTATTAATTTATTAAATCAATTAAATCGCAAATTATTAATCAATATTAACTTTAAACCTTAAAAATTAAAATAATTAAAATTATACCTTAAAACTCAAAATAATTAAAAATTTTACGAAATGAAAATGAAATGTAAAAACATTTCATTTTCAATTAATTTATTTAAAAAAAATTTTAATAAAATTGTATATGCAGAGGAGAAACTCTAAACAACATAGTGACGCCGTTAACAAAATATTATTTTACGGTGTTTGTTATTAATATACGTAAATTAATATTTTTGTTAATGTTCTTTATTGCTTGTGCATATATAGAATTTTTACTGAATAATTTGTTTGTCAATTCATAATTTTTCATTCTTCTCTTAATTCAAAGCAGTTTATTTTTTTGAAAAGTAATGTTATTGGAAATTAGTTTTTACAACATTTTATTAAACTTAAAAATTAATAACAATATTAATTTTCGACGCTCTTCTAAGAAAGATACCTGAAGCGAAAAATATAATTTTTGGAGTAAAATTACAGAAAAAGAATCATTTACTATTACAAATTATTGATATTCAAATCATAAAATAAAATAAATAAATTACCAAAATAAGTTTTTATTGTTTTTTATTTAATTCATAAAGTTAAAAGTTAATGAACGTGGAACTTGAAAGTAAAATTTGTTGATAAATTCAGTAAAAATACTATGAACTAATTTTTTCTTTTTACAGTTTACATTATTTTGAGCTCAGGTGACGGATGCGTCCCGGGACGTATGGGTGAGCCTAACGTGCCCCTTTATCCCTAGTGTAGGTCAATTTGCATCTGGGCGGTATGTGAGAGAATCGTGGAGCGTTTGTGAATTTAAAGAGTAGGTTTGAAATAAATAGCTTTATGGGTAGGTAGGAGTAACTTTTTTTGGTACGATTGAGATAAATTTTTTTCGAACTAACTTTTCCGTAGGTAGGGAAATCGGATTTTTTTGGTGTGCATATATGCTACATTAACTGGAAAATCAGTTAAAATATTTATAAATATTTTATGAAAAATTCTTATCTTCATGTCACTATGTTGTTTCCAATTTTATTTTATTGTTCATAATTTTCTGAATTGTTGTTTTGTATACTTGAATCTTTTTCACTTTGAATTTTTTATAGGTATTCAAATATTGATCATTACCTTTGGTAATAATTTTTTTCTTTAACATTAATTTAAATAAATATTGAAAGCCCTAAATACTGAAAATAAATTACTTGATTCATTTAGTCGAATACTTTATTATTATGAAGTAAATATTTATTTATATCAAACAATTTTTATTCGATTCAGTTAAATGATATGTGTTTCAGAACAGAAGTTATCAATTCTTTTGATTTAAGTAATTTTTGAAAATAATCTTTTTAATTGAATCTTTTTAAATAGTGCTTTCTTAATGATTCTTTATAAACAATACTTTCTGAATACTTATTTTTAAATAAAAAATTACTTGGTTCATGTAAATATTTGATAATTGTCAAGTAGTAGATTATTTGAATCAAATAAATTTTTTTCAGGTGTAATTAAATATTAAAATACTGAAATACTTTAATTAGTGATGCCAGTCAAGTTGATAGATTTTTCCTTAATGAATAGAACGAAATGAAATTTTAATTAATTTTGATTGTCATTTAACAAGTTGCTAGAATAGTTGTAGAGAATTATTTGATTTGTGTTACTAATTTAATTTTTTTTAAATTCAATTACATATTATTTTTCTAATCTTGTCCTAGTCACAATTAAAGAAATCAATTTTTATTACTTGAATATTAAATTCGTAAATTTTACCAGAGTTTTACGAATAGGCCCTAAAATATCTGAAAATTTATTTCAGTTTCTTGTAGGAACCTCTAAAAATAAATTTAAAACACTTTAAATATTTTATTGATTTATTTTTTTATTTTTTAAAATTTATGAATTTCAAGGAACTAATTTAGTACGAATTTTCGGTACTAAAATCGTAATTTGGTTCTATTTTAAATTTTAATACTGAAATCTAATTTAGAACCTTTTTTTTACAGTGTAATTTATTAAGTTAATTAAAAAAAATTAAGTACGTTCTGTTACTTATTACCACACTGTTACTAATTGCCCCATTTGACTGTAAAGAAAATAATTTCTAATAAAAGTTAACTAAATTTATTTAAAAATAAAGAAAAATCAAGTAACGAAAATAGTTTCAAAAAATTAATTAAATTAATTAACTACATTAATTTAACAAAATTAATTACTGAATATAATTTTGAAAAGTTAATAAATTTTGTAATTTCTACTAATAAGAGCATGATGTATGTCGTGTAAAACGTTTAATAGTGCCAAGTCAGGAAGGAACTTTGATTTTGTTGCATCCTGGGTCCGGACAAACGCCTCGTTTATCATTGCTGACCCTTTGTTGCTACTTGGAGGTAGTAAAAGCCAAGGGGATGCAACGAGTGTCTAGAAAACGCAAGTTTTTGCCTCACCAATTATCCCAAAGAAGCGTATCATATACGCACGCCCTTTTAGAGTCGAGAGAGTTACAACTCTCAATCATTTTTATTAAAAACAAAAAAAAGAAAAAGGTCTCGACTTAATTTTAATTAAATTCTCCCTCTCTTTGATTTACGATTTTCCTAGTTGTGTATATGTAAAATACAAATTTAAAGTTTCTGAACTTTTCTTTCTGATGTTAGTTTACATCACTTTTTCAACAATTTAAATCAATTTCTTTTGTTTGCAAATCATTCACTTTTTTTTCTCGTAAGGGAAACAAAACTCTCTTTGTAGAAAGAGAGAGAGCAAAATTGATTTGTAAAATTATAAATAAAAATCGTAATATAGTTTTATTGATTGAACATTCTTTCTCGAAAAACTTTGTTTTCTTTCTTCTCAGCTTCTCTTCAAAACAATTTCAAGTGGAAAAATATTTTTATTTCCCACTTTTAATCAATTCCGTCACATTTTCAATCTTTAACAAACATGAGAAACCTGTTGCTTTTAGAAAAAACATTCTCTGAATAACAATTCATAAATATGCCCTCTGTTTTATTAAATAGATTAAATAGATAAAAATCAATTAAGAAAGTTGAAATTCATTTTTTTAAGATAAAGTGCTTTTAACAAATAATAATAATAACGAAAGAAATTCTATATATAGAATTCAATAGTGATATATCTATAAATATTGGAAAAAAAAATTCTTCAAACTTGTATTGGTATAACAGGAATAAAAGTTTCGAAACAATAACGAGATATCTTGCTTGAGAAACTTAGAACGTGAAATTCTGATGCTCGGCACGAATTCCACCTCGATGGAAATAAATAAATCTATGCGATCAGATAAATCGAGAAATTGTTTTTACAAGTTTTCTTAAAAACTATTAAAAAGCAAAATCCGATTTTCATTTATAAGAAGAAGAAAAAAAGAGAAAACAAGGAAAAGGAGAATAAGAAAAAAGAGAATATAAACAGTTTTCCAAGAAATTCAATTAAAACATTTTATAAGAGTTGTGTATATATGTATAATGCAAACGTTTATAATGACTGATGAAACGAAATAATTTCTCTCGATTTTACACAAGATTGAACTCTGGGCAATGAACTTTCCGCTTCTCTACCGCTAGTAACGAATCATTGGAAAACAATTCATTATTAAAGACGTCCAATATAAAACATCCGGTGCTAGGGTAACATGGGTTGGGTACCGGATGTGGCTTATATGAGCACGACACGATAACTGCATCAGAGACGAGAGGGGGATGTAAACCACCATCCCCTTTTTCACCTACTACTCGGCAAATCTTCAAAGTAAATATTATGATTGTCCAAATATTATTTCTCCTCTTCGTAACATCCATTTTTGGTTAAAGTGTGTCTATTTATATAAAATGTATTTTTTTTCTCTCGTCATTTTCTATTTTTTTTTTTTTTTTTGCTGTGTTGGAGAATTTTTTTTTGTGTTCTATTTTTTTTTGCTTTTTAAGAAATATAGTGTTTAATCTGTGCTTTATTAAATCGCTGAAGTAATTAAAAGTTGTATAAGTTGGGAGGTGGAAAAAAAAGGAAATAAATGACAAAGTTAGCATAGACACGTTTACCTTTATTGGGTTTAAACGGAATTTAAAGCAAGAATGGATGTATGGTTGACTCAGCGGAGGTTAGAGTTCGTAATTATGTAAATTTTAATGCAATGCTGAGTCCAGGTTCCCTTAGTGCACTCTGTATATATATATATGTATACCGAACAGCTCTTTCTGAACACTTTTTTAAAATTAATCTGGTTCTCTCCGCCTTTTAATTTTCGTCGGTCACCTTAATTTTTTTTTCGAACCGCAAAAATGCAAAATTGTTCTGAAGATGAACTTTTTAGTTGGTGCAGAGGTAACTTTTGCCGATTATACAAAGTAAATACTTAAATGTTTGAGCATTTCTGCTTTTGCAAATTTTACTATTTTCGGTGGTGGTTTTATTATTTTTTGCTGAAATTAAATTCGGAAGAGAATTTACAAACTAAATACTTAAATGTCTGAGCATTTTTGCGTATTTCTGCTTTCGCAAACTTTACTATCTTCGTTGGTAGTTTTACTATTTTTTGGTGAAATTCTCCCCTTCTTTTCTCTTTTCACCTTTTAAATTCTCATAAATTAATAAAATCTACTTTTTGCAAACTCTGGAAATGTTTGAGTTTTCTGAAACTTAAAAATGTTTTTATAATATTTAATCAGAGTTTTTTAATTTGCAAATTTTTTTTTTATACCAGATAACAAATAGAGAATAAATTTTACTACATACAAAGTAAAACTCAAATATTTGAAAAATGTTGTCAACTTTTACTATATTTTTAGAATAAATTTTACTAAAC